TCCTAAAAATAAAAAATAACTTGAAATTAAAAATTACATTAAAAACCTAAAAATAATAATAATAAAACATGAAGTGAAAAAAAAAACATCGAAAATTTATTTGCGGTTTAGCTTATATTTTTCGCGAAACTGCTTCACCGCTTTAGCCGCCTCTTGATCTACGGGGTTAAGGTGTCTCACATCTTGCATTAACAACGAATATTCTGTGAGTCAGACCGTTTCAGTCATATGTCTCTCTAAAGTTGAATTCAATTGTGTCATTTGTGTCATCATTTCTTCCGATCTAGCTGACCGTTCGGTTCCGACTGACGAATTTAAAGATGTCGTTTTCCCTTGTCCTTTTGCTCGAACTTTTGTTTTGTCTCTTCCCATTGGAGGAGGAGGCGGACATATTTCTTCGATGTCGTCATTATTATCATTAAGATTAACGCTTACGTGACAATCTGATGAGACTTTTTTTGAGCTCGAATATGAAGATGTTCGGCTTCTTTTTGGCGGATTAGCAACTTTTTTATGTGTTGCAAATTCCGTCCATCTAATGCTTCTTTTGACAACTTCGCACACATGAATAAACTTAAAAGGCTTTAGCATATCATCTTGGAATGTAGCGTGTGTGTTTTTCAACAAACTCGTTTCACTTTCTCCGCTAGCCCATTGTTTTTCAAAGTTTGTGTAAATTCCATTCCATTGTGTCACGAGTTTGTTCATAAGATTCTATTTTGAGTTACATTGGTCGGAGGTCTGATAATCTGGATTTCGACCCATTCCCTTACAAAATCGCTCTGTGATACGTAACCAAAATTGATCACGATTTTGACCCTTTCCCGTGCCACCATCTTCTTATATGTCGACCCATGCCTTTGCTAACTCAACTTCTTCTTTTTTGTGTCCATCTTCTCGGATTGGCATTCCCTTTCTTTTGTTGTTGAGGTTGTTGTTGTTGCTCATCGTGTTCAGAATCATAAACATATTTGGTTGAAGATGTGAAAGACGGTTTGGATGGAAATTGGGTTTGAGATGGTTGGGTTTGGGGTTGAGATTGGAAATGGAATTGTTGGGGCATTTAGAATTGTGAATAATAGCTAGGAACACCATCCATGTGTGGCCGGTAAGGCACTGATGGAAGGGAAATCACAACAACGCCTACAATCCTCGTCTATATGTTAGGATGTCTGTGTCAAGTGAACTCATTCAGTAATTTTATCAAACAGTTAGCAGCCATGGACAAAATAGAGTCCTCTATTGAATAAGTTTAGCATTTGTATTGAATAACAAAATAAAATCGAACCTATATTTCTTTGCATCAGTTTTAGCATCCTTTACTATTATTAGGCTTTAACTTAGGCTGCAAAATTATGAAAATAGTGTAATTCAAGGACCTGGGGATTCGATTTCATGAGAATCATACAAAACTTGGTTCCACCTCTTTTAATCGCAGTATCGCACATAAATTATGATAATAAAACAAAATTGTAATAATTGTACTTCTCTATATAAAACTAAAACAGTTTACATCTATTTTCAGTTTGTAACAAAACAAAACTTAAAAAAAAAAAAAAAGATAGCAACTATTCTATAGCAAACGTTACACAAAAAAAGCCAAAAAAAAAAGATTCCTTCTTTTTTAATCAAGAATATTTCCTCATTCTATGAAAAACTTCTTTTCAACACGTGGCAGCATCTTGCCTGATGACTGTTTAATCGAATACCCAAGATCAACTTTCATCAAACGGTGATTATCTTCCGCACGTGTCATTGAGAAATTAACAAAAATTTCTTCCCCTTCATTCACACGTGCATGCGGATGCAAAAGAAAAACCTACATATATATATATATATATATATATATATATATATATATATATATATATATATGTGATTATATTCAATCAAACCACTTTTATAATATCACCATAAAACACAAAAGAGCTAATTGCAACAAATAGCATATGTAACATTGTACTTTCATTTTTTTCTTATAAAAAGACATTTGCTATGAAAAATTTACCCAATTATAGCATTGTAATTTCAAATTCTCTCTTATTAGGACATTATACTTTGAAAATGACAAATCTACCCAATGGAAATTGCTTTGTATAAATTGTATTTGGATGATATTGCTATAATTTAGTAAAATTTTCAATATATGATATTGTAATAAGAAGAAAAAAGAGTAGGATGCTATAGTAAACAAATAAATAAAAATACTTTCCTATTTCATACATTAAACCCAACAAAAAATACAACAAAAGAGAAAAAGTCAACCTGTTGTCCCCAATGAGTGCCATCATCTTGACTAGGAGCTGTGGTCAACTCAACATCTGACTCGGCTGGATTCTCTTCATTTCCCTAACAAAATATAAAAAGAAATTGGTCAAATCAATTCTCACATGAACTTAAAAAAGTCAAAGGTTGACCGTTGACTCACTTTAAAATGTACATCAAACCAACCACCAAAGCCACATAGCCGTGTGTCCTCTTTAGTGACTAACGATGAAATGTTGGCTTCCACTTTGAGGATTTCTTCAACTGTCACTTTTAAACAATCGATCTCTTTTAATATAGCAGGAGTTCCCACAACTTGATTTGGATGCAAAGAGTTCCACACCGATGTCTACACAATAAAAAAATAATAATAATAATAATCTTTAAGGCCTTTCTTGTTAGTCAGGACAAGACTGGAAGAAACAGGTTGTACTACATTGCACATGATAGTACAGACTGACAAGACATGATAGAACAGACTGACAAGACATCATTTTGCATGCATTAGACTGGGACTTGTAGACTACTGATAATGATAACTTCTGACATGACTTTAGTTGACAATGATGTTATTGGGATAGTTTGTTACTTTGAACTTGGGGTATAAATGTAAATATATACAAGAAAGTAGGATACCCACCTCCAAATAATATTTTTTTTGCTCTTCCGAAAAGGGTTTTGTTAAAACACTCATATTGACACCATAATAAGCTTCAGTTTCTTTCAAGAAACCATGCCAATCATCCATGGATCCCTCATAATCACTCATTTTATGATCTGCTAATCCGGATCTAATAGGAGCCAACCACATGCGAGCATGACTCGGATACCTTCAAACGAAAAGAATGATTAATTAATTTTCTAAAAACAATAAAAATAATGAACAAAATGTGTAATTAGTGGTATAAACTATAAAGAACTACTTACATAATTCCATTTGATTTAAGCCAACGATCACGTGCACAAATTACAGAATCAAACATGGATTCACGAAGAAGAAAGTACCCCATCCA